TCTACGCCGAGGCTGCCGAGTCGGAACAGTGGATAAAGGAGAAACATCCGCAGTTAACTTCCACGGACTACGGTAAAGACGAAGATTCTGTGCAATCTTTGTTGAAGAAACTGGAGGAAATCGAACGGGACCTGCTCGGTTTCGAGAAGAACATTGAAAACTTGAGGAAACTTTCGCAGGGTTTGACAGAGAGGCATCATTTCGACAGCAAGAATATCACGCAGAAGCAGACGGAGATCGAGCAGAAATTCAAGGAACTACAGAAACTGAAGGATTATCGATTCCAGCGACTTCGTGAAAGCGAGAAATTCTTTAAATTCATCAGACAAGCGGACGAAGTGATCGAATGGATCGGTGATCAGACGACTGTCGCTGCTTCGGAGGACTATGGTCGCGACGTGGAACACGTCGAGCTTCTCATTCAGATATTCGATAACTTCTTAGCTAGTTTGACGACGAGCGAAGGACGAGTATCCGCTGTATTGGACAATGGACAGAAGTTGATCGAAGAAAACAATCCAGAGAAGGGTAAAATATTAATGAAGATCGAGGAGACGAAGCAGCAGTGGGATGATCTTAAGGAACTTGCTCATGCGCGACAAGACGCATTGGCAGGAGCAAAACAGGTGCACATGTTCGATAGAACCGCGGATGAGACTATCTCATGGATCCAGGAGAAGGAAGCTGCTCTCAGTTCCGATGGTTATGGACACGATTTGGAAACCATTCAGGCTCTGGTGAGGAAGCATCAAGGATTTGAAACTGACTTGGGTGCTGTGAAAGAGCAGGTATGTTTCAAGAATACTTGATAATTATACAATAGCAATGTAACATAATTTTCCTGTTTTCTTAGGTCGAATCGTTAAAGGAAGAAGCTTCAAGATTAATAGAGCTATTCCCAGATGCTCGTATACACATTGACGTGAAACACCAGGAAGCTGAGGCAGCTTGGAACGAGTTGCTGGAGAAAGCAGCTCAAAGGAGGAGCAAACTGGCGCAGGCAGAACAATTGCAATCGTACTTAGGCGAATACAGAGATTTGATGTCTTGGATAAACGAGATGGTGGCCAAGGTAACCGCTCCGGATTTGGCTCGTGACGTGCCGGGTGCTGAAGCGTTAATATCGAGGCACAGCGAGTACAAAGCGGAGATCGAGACGCGTAACGAGGCGTTCGAGAAGTTTTATAAAACTGGCCAGGAGTTGATAGAACAGGGCCACTTTTTGGGAAAGGAAATCGAGGATAAGATATCCGCGTTACAGCACAGGCAACAGTTTCTGAAGGACACTTGGGAACAGAGAAGACATATTTATGAACAAAACTTGGATACTCAATTGTTTAAACGAGAAGCCGAGACTTTGGAGAACTGGATCGTCAGCAGAGAGCCCATGTTGCACGATGGAAAATTGGGCGACAGTATTCCTCAGGTAGAGGAACTGATAAGGAAGCACGAAGACTTTGAGAAGACCATCGAAGCACAGGAAGAAAGATTCAACGCTCTTCAACGTATCACCATGTTGGAAGAAGCCTTCCGAAAGCAACAAGAAGCAGAAATGGCAGCGAGACAGGCAGAGAAGGAGAGAGTAGAACGTGCTCGTCTCGAAGAACGTAAACGTAAGGAAGTTCAGAGGATAACCGAAGAGAGGAAACGCGAAGAGGAACGAAGACGATTGATGGATAGTCCTCATCGAGGCATGCACGATGAAGTGAATGGTACGTCGGACGAACACGAATCCATCAATAAATTATCACCCTTGAAGACTTCGAACGTGCCGGAGAACTTGGATTCTACTCCGATTCAAAAATCACACAGCGGCATATCGCACGTGTTTGGTGAAAAATTAAGAAGAACCACTCCTGACATTAAGAGAGCCGAAAGCATGAAGGTGGACACGAAGAAACCGAAGAGGACGCCTAGCTTCACTACCAGAAGAAGAACTCAGAGCTTTAGAAAGCTTCAAAGGATGGAGAATATGGACGCCTTGCCACCAGTCGAGATTCAAGGCTTATTGGAAAGAAAGCACGAGCTTCAAAGTGCTGGCAAAAAGGCAGCTGTACGTTCCTGGAAACAATATTACACGGTGCTCTGTGGACAACTTTTGTGTTTCTTCAAAGACATGGAGGACTTTTCATTGAGCAAAGCAGCCACTGCTCCTATTACAATTTTCAACGCCATATGCGAGAAAGCGGACGATTACACGAAGAAGAAGAACGTGTTTAGGCTGAAATGTACAGACGGATCAGAATTTCTATTCCTAGCTCCAAATCAACAAGAGATGGAGGACTGGGTCAATAAGATATCATTCCACGCTAAATTACCACCCAGCCTCCAGCTGTTAAGCTACGACGAATCGCAGAAGGAAGGTCTACAGAGATTACAAAATGTCTCCGTAGAACATGGTGACGATAATGTTTCTACTGGCAGTAGCCACACCTCGACCCCTGAAATGGAACGAAAAAATTCAGTGATCAGACGTGACTTATCGAATCAACATTCTCCTAGCAGCGTGCAGATCGAGTTTCTTCAAATGCACAGGCAAAATCAACAGAAACGCGATCCACAGAATAATACAGAGTTCATAGGATCGCAGAGGAACGAACCGCCTCAAACGCAGACAGAGTTTCTGCAAATGCATAGGCAGCAACAATTGTTGGCGCAACAGCAACAATTGATCCAACAAGAACAATTGGCGAGTCAGAGAGATCAGTATCAAGCGAATTCTGGAGACAAACCACCGATACCTCCGAGAGGAGCACCACCTCCTATTCCAATGAGGTCGCCAAGCTCGGAAGCTCTACCCCAATACAGACGCGATGGTACACGTTAATTTAATATGTATAATTTTAAAGAAATTCAATTCCTCCGAAACACGAGGTCATAGATGAAATGTTCACAGACACAGAACACGTGCAAGGGAGGGCCGTTTATCAACAACGTAGTGCTACGTTGAACCATAACGGATCTGGCCAGTATTCATCAAATGCAACTTGGCATAGACAAAGTAGCGTAGATCTCAGTACACAACATCAAGGTATTAATAAATACTTATAGGGAACCACTGTAATCCAGTATGTGTACTTACGTGTAGAGTATCCCTTTTTTTTTATCTCGTTGAACGTTTAAGAACTCATGATTATTTTGTAGAGTTAGCACCCCCTTTGCCATCAAGCGCCCCTCCACCAAACAGAATGGCTCAGTGGAGTGCTCCTCATGATCCTGGTTAGTCATTGTCAACTGTTTCAGTTGTCTTTCACAAAACATAATTCATTTTTGCATGAGATGCTTCATCTTTCAATTCTTTATTGTATCACTTGTCCTATGTTATATCCCTAATTGTGAAAGTCAATTATATTTTTATAAAAAGAATGCTTTTCTGAATAAGAGTAGCTATTATATACTAAAAGACAAAAGAAAATAATGTTGCGAAAAACAATTTCTTCTGTTACAGCATATGGAAATGTTCCCATAAATATTAGACAGGTAAATAGACAAAAGTTTTTCATTCCATATTTCTATAATATCAAAGTATTTTATACGAGATAATTTTCATCATGTAGTATTTATTTGTATAAATGTGCCTGTTGTAGGGTATGCAGCAAAATAATTCGTTCACGGGTAGACCAGTTTCTTTGCCACCATATGTGGCACCCCCGGCGGTTCCACAGAACGCTCAAAATATTACAGTCGTAGACGGTAGGAGAGCTAGCGAAAGTGGATCAGAAAGTGAACACAGCGTTGGTAACAATCGTAAGGATCGCGATTATAAAAGGAGTTCTGTTTTGAGCAACTTATTTGGTAGACGTAAGAAACCATCTCAGTCGTAACCCAATTGAGTATGAAGTAAAAGGGCGTGCAGATTTTCATGGAACAATGTGGTAAACACTATGTAAAGTTCCTTTGAAAATGTTAGGGAGAACATGTGCATGTGTTATCCTTGCTGCATAGTATGTTAACAACTCGTGTAAATTTATTTATGTACTATACAAGTTTTATTCGAATAGATATATACTTTATATTGTTCACGTTGTTTAATGACGTGAAACGGGTTGAGTTGACCATGTAGAAGAGAACTGCATAGCATAATTGATTATTTTTTTAGTTCTTCTTACTTCTATACAATTCTTTTTACCCAAAATATTATGAATTTTTGTTTTACAGTATAATAATGATTTTTACAAAGTTCTGTGATACATGATCAACTCAAACATTAACAAGTACACCTGATGTGTCAGGAATTAAAAAAGAATTATTAAAAAATTGTTGAAGAATGCAACATATGGATTTTATAGTGACAAAAATTACAAAATGAATTATATACCATGAAAATGAATTCGATGTTACTATGATCGTTAAATTGTTTCATAAATCTCTTTAAATGCACCGTAAAGCTACAAAGGAAAGAATTATGTTAGAACTTATACCTTACACGCGATGGTCGTTAATGAATTTATTTAAAGTGTACCTGACTTTACGAGAAATGTTGAAATGTATGAAAAAGAACATGCGTATACATGAATCGTATACGGTTTAAGTTGTAGATGTCATAATATATGTTGCAAATATTATATATTTGAGAACATCTATTCGGGACCAATGACCCTATAATGTATTAAAGTATCAGCAATATGTACACATATTTTTCAAGATTTAAATATTATATCATTTCTTCTTTTTCTTTTTTGTTTTTTTACAACAAAGTAATATTACAATGTGTAAAGTGTATTTAATACATAAAGAATAATAATGTATTATGTAGCCTTGTCGGTACTATTCCGTAGTTAAGTAGATCGACAACCTTTTTCTCGCGTTAAGGTGTCGACAACTGAGAATTGAAGAAAACGAAATAAATGTAATGAACCCGATGTTTGTTATTTTAAAATTCATATTGTGCTTTTGTAGATCTCTAGTTCAAGGCTTCATAAATTTAACTGCAAAATTTGTAATAACATGTTTCCTTTATTTTACAACTAGTACAAAACATCTTTATCATTTGGCAGTATTTCTTTACATAAAAATAGAATCTTAAGTACAGCCGTTAATATAAGTCACTGAAAGAAAACTCTTATATTACAGAAACGCACTCAACAAAGAGATCAGTTTCACCAAGAAACACTTTGTCCTTTGCTAATTTTTCCAAACATTCACATAAAATCTCTTTCTCTGTCTTTCATACAACTTAAGTTAAAACTTAAATGCAACAATGATAACAACAAATGATTCAACCTTGATAATGAAATAAAATTCTTAAGTAGCAATTAATAAACTATCCGGTAATGTTTGTAAAGTTATCACATATATACAATTTTAATACAAAATTGCCAACTATGACAATATCCGGTCAATATTGCCAAATGAACCAAGGTGAAGAGCATTGAATTAGAACTCTTATCTTCGTTTATCTTTACGACCGTCCAATAAAAATATTGTCCCCGTTAAAACGAGCAGCTTGTAAGGAGATGTCAGTGAGAAAGAAGAGGACAGTTCAGTGTAGCTCGTTCACGAACGTCATGGCAATGAGCACGTTAACAGTTACACAATGGTCGGTGGTTGAAGAACAGCTGGTGCACGTCTGACTTTCAAAGCTTCCGGACTCATAGCCCGCACCTGTTTCGTGATCTGATCATAGTCATAAGTGACAGCCAGCCCACCCTCCGAGTTCGTTTTTCTACCGAATCCTTTACTCTGCGCCGAGTTGTTATTCTTCTGCCTTTCCGTTGGCGTTGTATTACTGTAAAATGCATCTGCCGCGATGCTTCCCTCCTCTTCTTCTCGACGATATCGCCGGTTCTTCAGTCTTAACAACGAGTACACTGCGATCGATATTAGAAGTAGAAGAAAAAGGAGACCAACCGCAGCTGCTGCTGCGATCACCCTCATCTCAGTTGGATCCCGAACCAACAATTTAACGTTGGTCGAATCTCTACCCTTCTCGCTCTCCACCAGAAGAGTGTACATTCGTGCATCCTCTTTTTGCAAATCCTTGATCACCAACTTTGCCCAGTAACAATTTGTCAGCATCTCGTTCTCCTTGATGTGTTCTAAAGGTAGAGCCTCGTATTTTGGATGAATACTTTCTCCTAAACAAAAGTTTGTATATCAAAGACAGTGCTTCGGAAGAAAATAATTATGAATAGATTGATGTGATTAAGGAGTTCGTACCAGCTCTGATGTGCGAACTTCCCCACTGCCAAGCAACCAATCTGGGTGGCGGTCTCGAGCAGAAACGAGATTTAAGAACGTGTTCGGATTCTCCTGCCCATCCTAGCGACTCGTAGAAACCTTTATCACCGGAAGAAGGCCTCGCCTGTATCTCAGGTGGGCCGGTTACATGGAGCAGGTAACGAGCCTCGCTGGGCATTTCTCTGCGCACTCCGTTGATCACGTTGAACGCAACGCATCGATATTCCCCCTCGTCGGACCACATTACGTTCTCCAGACGCAACCGTTTACCACCTTCCTTGTTCTGAAGAGGATTCTCGATGGTCTCGGTGATCCCACCGCGAAGATGTACCCATCTGTATTGGGCTGGTGGGTTAGCCTCGAATTCGTCGCATTCGAATGGTTCCAAAGTGGTGGCAAGTAGAGTGGTCTCTTCCAATTTCTTCAACGTTTCATTGACAGTGTTCTCCAACTTCAATCTAGGCCCGTCTGAACATAGAAGAAGTACCATTCGCATGATTTATTTAACGAAATAAAGGAACTATGCTCGAAGAAATCGCATTGGAAATGTGACAGCTATTTAAGCGAGTTTGACCGTAAATTTATCACGAGGAGAGAGCCGGCGCGATACTCGAGACAATTGCTAATGATCAAGGAAAGGACAAATTGACGTTCACGTGGATCGGCAAGCGTGCTATTATTTCGAGCGGTATTTCTGAAAAGCGGTTGTAGAGAGCGAACTAGAGAGCGGTCAAATCGATCGTTCAATGAACACGGTCGTTCGTTCTCTGTGGAAAGGAAGTTGGTAGCGCGGTAAAAGTCAAGCTACTTGTACGAACATTGTACGTCCAGCCTGTAGTTAGCCGCGGTGCTTTCACCGATAACGTTGACCGCCTTGCAAGAATAGAGACCGGCGTCGTTTCTCTTGACCGGCTCGAATCTTAACTCGGACCCCGTCAAAGTACTGTTCTGCTGCGTTCTGTTTAACATCAACGATACCACGTTGCTCGTTACTATGATGCCAGCTGAATCCTTGAACCACTTGATCGTTCCGCTGGGATTGCTGTCCGCGAAGCATTTCAGGCTCATAAAACTGGCCGAATCCTCGAGAGCCGCAACCAGCAGACGAGGCTTCGTCTCGATCCTCACCTCTGGCGAATCTGAAATTCATAACGCCATCAGACTATCGAACCGTTGCCTTTCTTCTACGGAACTCTGAAACTTTTTGTCCGGTAATTGGATCTAGTTATCCAGTTGTTTGAGGCTAGATTTTTATTTTAATCCAAGTTCAAATTGCTATTTGATTGCAACGATTCGAAGGTGAATTGTAGCGTGGATCAGAAATGCGTTCGTTCGGCAGAAATGTATGCAAAATATACATACAATGAACATCCAGTCGCGTTTCCGCAGAAGCTGGAACGACGCTGGACGGATGGATCGTGATACAACGAATCGGTAGACCATGGTTCTCTCTTTGTCCACGAACTCGTAGGAGACTGTGGGCAGCCCAGGTTTTCGGGCTGTCCACTTCCGTCGCGTTCGTCTGTTCCCTTAAAGCTTCCACTTCGTCTCCGCCTATGTACCTGCACAAACATTGATATAAATAATCTACTTTAGCATTTAGCAATTTCCCACGGATACCGATTCAAGGCTTATACCCTTTCTAGGATGATTCACGGGGAGACTATGCTCGTGGCCAGTTTCCCCGCTTCTACGACTACAATCTGCATAATTGCCCTCGTCTTTGCATCTTCGGTGCAACTCGGAGCGAAAAAAAAATACGCGCAGAACTATTTAGACAGCGTGCCTATTAAAGGCAGTAAAAAGAGTCCGGTCCGTTACAATGGCCGGTATAATTTCAGCAAACGCAAGGCATGGTATGAAATTAGGAACCGTTCTCCTTCTGCTCCATATTCGATTCGTTTCCGTGAAAAAACAAAAAAATAATTGTTCTTGCTGCGTGCAGTCGAGTGAAATTCACTATCGTCGGGAGTCTCTCTTGTGCGGGCATTCGTGTCACCTTCTATTCGAATGAAAAGCGAGAAATCAATCGTGACAAAGTAGCTTTTGAGTGAAAATACAGAGAGATTCTTGATGGGATTTTTCAAAGGTTTCCAATCTGGAAAACAGTGGTTCATGGGTAGTCGGTGCTCGTGGAAATGGTAACGCCGCTCATGCGAAGGTGATGATCAAGAACAGAGTGAGTTTTATGTTATAAGAATTTAGATGAGGTGTGGCTAGCACGATCGTTAGACCATGACAGGAAAAAGACTCAGCTGGCAAAGCTTTCTGCCGCGTAAACACCGTGTTTACGGCTTTCTTGCCTTCTCTGGGAACCAGTGTTTTTGCATTTCAACGAAACACAGCGTTTTCGTAAAACGAGGGAATCCGCAAACGCGAAAGCTCGCATAACATTGCGAAGTAAGGAACGTTGGGAAATGATCGAAGAGATCGTTTCATTTCTGGATCGTTTATCGAAACGACGTCGAATTGCCTTCGAGAAGTAATAATGTAATGTCAGCTGTAACCAGCATTCCTTGGAATGAAAGTTGTTATAAAAACAATAATAGGAGAGTATAACCAGTACCGTTGCACAAAGGTTTTACTACTGTGCGCGGATCAGAAGCAGAACAAATGGAATGCGAAAGCGAACCAAATTTCACGTTTAATTTAACGCAGAGATTTTTATCCGCGGATACCACGAACAATGTTTCCGTTTAATTTATTCCCTTTTTCTAAAGTTTTACCCCTCGCGGGTGAGTAATTAAAGCGACTCACCACTTTATAAGGGCAGCCGGATTTCCATATCTCGATACACAGGAAATGGTAACTTCCTGACCCTCCCTTAAAGTCAGGGCGTTGTTTAAAATCGTCCCCCCATATTCCAGCCGTGGCTTCCGGGGTTTCACTGAAATTCATAAAACAACAGGACATTTAATAATTAAACGGAAACACCAAATGTTTCCTTTCTCCGTTTATAGTATTCTAATAGAAATTTTAATTCAATCGAAGACGAATAGCGTGTCAAGATTTTCATTGAAAAGTGGCGTTGCAAAAATCCTCCGGCAAAAGGAAAAGTAGAACGGAACAAGTGGTTTGTTGCATCACGTCACGCCCACGTTTGGTGAATTTTAAGCTGACCACGGGAAATCTGCATTGTTCCATTGAGGAGGCCACAGGATCTGATTATATCCGTACAGGATTCGGCATGGATCCGCGTCGAAGAAAGCGATTCTTCAACGTCGATGTAGAAACTCAACGTTCCGTTAAAGCTAACCGCGCTATTTAACGCTTTAACGTTTCGTGTTGCATTATAAAAGCGATTGCGCAAGCCCGACTGATTCCTTAATCGAGAATTACACCGATCTTTCACGCATTCGAATCCGTAACTTTACGGCTATTCGTAGAGTGATTCTACAAAATCGGATCAGCGGTGCATCGAATTCAGATATTTTCCAGATCAACGATCGGTATAATTCTAAGAACATTAAGTGGATTCTCAGATAGATTTCTGTTACAAGAATCAGGTAGTCTGTTCCTTTTTTTTTGCCCGGGGGTATATTGAGTCATTAAGATCACATGCAGATGCGCCGGCATAAAAAATCAGACTCAAGTGGCAGAAAAAAAGTTCTTCCACTGATAGAGGTCCAAGACGTTTAGTCAGCTATCCAGTGAACTAGATATTTCTTGGTATTATATCTGGGGTATCTTGTGATTTTATTTTTCTAACATTGTAATACCTTCAACCGCGTACTCGATATAAACGTAAACTTCAATTAATTGCTAATCAGCAATTAAGATCTCCTACCTGAACATTATACCTATTTCAAATTCCCCCTTTGCATGCCGTTGAAGGTAATTAATTTCATCATACATTTTTCTTATACATGCACGATTCTATGCTGCTCGAGTTACCTAGAGATCTCGATTCGTCTTAATTAAAAAATCAAACAGATGATAATGCGACTACCATTCCTTTTATGTAGCAATTACAAGTAAACAGAAAAAGCAATAGAACGGGTAGTCCAATTAAAATAATGAAGTTTCGCACACTGTTCCCTTTGTAGAATATCCTGCGAATTCTTATTAACATTAGCGTTAAAGGGTTGGTGATCGAAACGATATCTTACCTCTAACGAGCAAACGCGATGGTAAAGAAGTTAGAGCATCCTGTCGCGTGAAATCGCCAGAAGTCACTTGACATTCCCAGTAACCATCGTCGAAATCGAGGGAGGCTCTCCTGATTAGAAGGGTGCAATCGCTACCCCGCCCGCTGGCCCATTCGTATTTGTCCGGATGCATGCCCACCGGCTTCCGGTCCTTCTGCCAGATGCACTGACCGCGTTTGTCTTGCACCCTGCATCGCAGTTGCACGTCATCCCCGGAGGACACTTCCGAGTACAAAGCTGGAGTTTCTGCGAATCTTTGTTCCCCGGTTATTTGAGCAATTATTAAAAATACTATTGGAAGAACCCGTTGAAAATAGCTGAATTTCATTTTGAAATGTCTTAAGTTGATTTCAATTCAGATGGTAATAGTTTTTATTTCATAATTTTATTTCTTGAAGTTTCAAACCGAGGCAAGCACAACACGCTTCTTTTACTATCAAGTACAAAGACTTAACTCTTTCCTTTTATATCAGTTTGTAATAAAATTACTTTGTTATAAAATACTTTCACTATAAACACTGTGCACTGAGGTTCGAAACACTTTCACGGTATTTGTTCTTAAAAATAATCACACTGTGTGTAGATCAACCGATGTTCTTTATGTTACGATTTAAAAATTAACGCGAAGTTTATAATTATTTTTCATAATCAACATTATTTAAAACAACGTCGGTGATCTTCCTGGCGAAGCACATAAGACGGAATGAGCAGTTGTGAAATTCGAATGAAACTCCGCGAACGGGGATCTCCTGTGGCGCCCCCATTGATGCTTCATCGAAACATTTTTACATCCCCCACGAACTTTGTCTCTCAAACTTTCGTCAGGCACAGATAAAAATGATGCCTTCGAACTATGTTAATATTCACGTATGAACACTCATTTCTATTTGTACAAGGAGGACAAATAAGAAAAGAAAACAGACGATGGAGATTAAACAAAGTTATCTAGGACGTCGGAGTACAATGCTAGAAGTACATAGTGGAACTGAGCTGGAGTTAATGCCAGAACGTTCACCGAAGTGGAAGCGGAAGACGGGCCCCAAACGCGGAGCCACGCGTGCGTATCCAACCCTGTCTCCTCTACTCCTATCCTTATTATTCGAGCGTGTTATCATTATGCCATGCTACGACGAGTTTAGCCGCCCATTTGTTCTATATATTCTTTATTTCGCGTTTACCGAGCAAGAACCACCACCGCGCCCACCCAGTCCCCTGAAAAGCGGTTTCAGGAGAAAGCAGACTTATAGGACATTAGGTATATTTCACTAGCAGATGCTCCCCATAAGTTTCAGAGAAAACGACACGCAATGACAATTTATTACAGCCATCCGTATATTACTTTCCAACTTCATCCTGGCCAATTTTAATGGATGATGTATAATAGTACAATTCATATACTTTGTATTCGCTTTCTATTCGCTATTTCGTTGACTGATGATTTTGATTTAGATACAAGTAGTTAGGATTAGTCACAGGAATTTTCACAGAGTAATTTGTACGTAATAACCGAGTTAAAAGGTAGCATTAAACCACGTCGTTGATAACCTGATGCTTTAATGAAACGAAATGGCAGTCTTAAGTAGTCGATGAATCGTTGCCTCATTAAACCACGAGTTAACGACTGCGCTAATGAGCTAGTAATAGATTGTCTTACTTTGTTCATCGTTTTATCGACATTGTAACGCTATCAGATCACCAATATATACTTGAGTTTCTCTTGAGTCTCTCTTCCACCGCATCTCGCACTCACATCTGAAAAAATACAATTTTAACTCTCTGTAATTCTATTTCTTCTTTAGCATACAGTTAAAAGCAGCACAAAACTGAAAAATTATTAAAATAATTGTTTGACGAACTTGTATTCACAAACTTGTATTTTAAAAAGATCGCCAAAAATAAAAATTTTTTTAATTCGACCCTAGCGCTATCTCTTTAAAAACGATTCAAACTACTCAACGAATTACCAACTGATTTTCCGACAGAGAGTAACCTGTTCCGCCGCTTTAATATAGATGACACCGATATCGAATTCAGCATGATTTTTATTGGCATTTATTTAAATAAATGTAAGAAAATTGCATATTTAAACTTTAATGCTAGTGTATCGTTTGTAACTCTGTAAAAAATTTGATATAAAAATTAAATAACACAAACAAATTTACTGGATATCCGTATATAAAAGTAATAAAAATAATAAATTTCAAAATATAAATAATTAAAATTATAAATAATAATTAAATAATTTTTAATAGAATAATTAAACAAAATTTTGCAATATACCCACGCGGAAATGTAAAGAAATAAACAATTTAAATAGATTTAACAATAATTTGATTAATAAACAATTGTAAAATATAAAATAATAATTAAACAAATATTAACAAATATCAGATAGAAACAGTTAAATCTAGCCGCGGAACCGGTGAAGCGGAACGTCACGCTTGATTGCGCGCGCAGCGCGCCAGTACAAGCGCGACCTAGAGAGGGGTCAAATCTAATCAGTCTTATCGCGACCGCCGAAGGGTACGGATCGAGCTGTCACACATATACCGGTACGGGTTGACACCATGGATATTCGTGCATGGATTTATTAGTGTGTTACCTCAAGTGTTACTGTGTGTGCCTATGGTGTTTCCTATAGTGTTTCCCATGTGTTTTGGAATATTTGTACGGATATATTAGTGCGTCTTATGGTGTGGTCACCCATGTGTTCTGACATTTTTATACAAGTGCATTAGTGTGCTGTGTGGTGTGGTACCCCATGTACCTGCATGTGCTTTATTGTGTTTTATGGTGTGGTTTCCTATGTGATTTGGCATATATTTACGGATTTATTAGTGGGTTTTATGGAGTGGTACCCTATGTGTTTTGGCATATTTATACGGGTTTATTAGTGGGTTTTATGGAGTAGTACCCTTTGTGTTTTGGCATATTTATACGGATTTATTAGTAGATTTTATGGAGTAGTACCCTATGTGTTTTACTATAAATTTGCAAATATTTTATAGTGTTCTATGGTTTTGATCTTCATATGTTTTGGGATGTATTTGCATGTGTTTTACCGTGTTTTATAGTGTAGTTATTCCCATATAGTTTTGCATGCATATTTTTGAATTATCCTATGTATTAGCATACTAATTACAACAAATTGAGAGAAAACGTATATCGTTCAAGAATCGTGATTTTTGTGCTTCCAGATGAGTGCTTTGACCAGTGGAGGTACCGTTTTTTTGACGAGCCAACAGTCGAGCTATGGATCAATCTAAGATGCGTGGCGAGTGCAGTGGTGCAAGTCAACGATCGGTGAGTCGCATGCTTTAAAGTTCCTCCGGTTCCCATCATGTCGTAGGACGAATGGTCCGTAGCGACACGGGAATTGGTTGTAATTTTTATTTTTTGAGCGAGCATAGTGACCCACGAATATCACTGTATCATTTTATACAATGATAATCGTGCAAATTGCTTTTTTGTGTATTTTATGCCTTAGCTCAGGATAGGGTTTTCTTGTACATATTTACATATATAGATTTCGAGTTAAAAAGTGTAGAGAAGTCGGATGACCCTCCGATTTCAGAATACACCTTCTTTTTTATATGTACAAGAATTTATTTCGCGATGAGAATTAGAGAATTTATTTCAATATCAAAGTAATAAGCATGAATACTTTTAATTATTCCAACTACTTACTTTGATAACGAAATCGCTCTTGAAATTGAAACGTTCTTCCAATTTTATTCGTTAAATTGGCATAAGTTTAGTATATGGGTTGGCCCCCCCAAAGGGGGTGGTCACGTTTACGATTCTCGGTCCTAAATACTCATCATTCGCACTTCATACTCACGAACTCTATCACATAATCATTTATCCACCTGCATACCGTTGTGTAGTGAAATATTACCCCGTTAGGATATTTAAATTAAAGTAGTGTTGCGAAAAATTTTCAAGTTTAAGTAGTGTTGCGAAAAATTTTCAACGCGAGAGTAAATATTACCACGTTAGAATTTTCAAGTTCAAGTAGTGTTGCGAAATATTTCCGGCGCGAGAGTAAATATGACTATACACTGACTAGTATTCGGTGGGAATCCTTTTGGTATTTATTTGATAAAATTAGTTACAAGGATTCCGCGGCATAAGACCGTGAACACCACCTCATGGGAGATAAAACCATGCATTACTAGGCCTTTTCAGGCACAGCCATAGAGTACGGAACATTTAAGTATGTTGCAACCCATACGCTAAGCTGTCTTAAAGTCCTTTTGCCTATACTATGGGCGTCCACCACTCGAACTCGTTGGATGCAACGTGTTCGATGGGTGGGTAGCGCTCTTAGCGAAGGGGTGCACCCTGCCTGGGCCTAGAGCCTTAAACAGGCGGGGTGGGTGGTATGTAGCGTCGGGCGTAAGTCCAGGGGGCCTAAGAACCTCCGTTGCCAGCTGATATTAGCAGTGGACGAATGTTTGGGTCATATTTTCTCAATTTTGCTTTTCAGTATTTGCTCTTCAAGCATAATTTAAAGCTCCCCTTCAGTCATGTTGCTAGATCAGGATTTTCTATTTTAATTAGTGTTGCGAAAAATTTCCAGCGCGAGAGTAACTATGACGATGCACTTACTAGTATTCAGTGGGAATCCTTTTGGTTTTTAAACTCAATGTTTTATTTAATTAATCAAATTAGTTACAAGGATTCCGCGGCATAAGACCGTGAACACCATCTCTGGGAGATATACCCATGCATTACTAGGCCTTTCAAGGTGCAGTTTAGGATGTGGCGCCCATCCATAGGTTCCATTTAATAAACTGCAGTCCTTTTGTCTATACTATGGGCGTCCGTCAATCTGACACGTTGGATGCAACGTGTTGGACGGGCGGGTAGCGCTCTTAGCGAAGGGGTGCACCCTGTTCTAGGCGGGGTGGGTGGTATGTAGCGTCGGGCGTAAGTCCAGGGGGCCCGAAAACCTCCGTTGCCAGCTGATATTAGAAGTGCACCATTTTTGCGTCATAGTTGCTCTATTTTGCTTTTCAGTATTTGCTCTTCAAGCATTATAGAAAGCTCTTCGTTCATACTTCAAATTCATTCTGTCACGTTCACGGTTCTCGACCCTAAACACCCATCATTCGCACTTCAGCCTCACGAACTCTATCACATAATCATTTATCCACCCGCATACCCTTGTGTAGTGAAATATTACCCCGTTAGGAATTTCAAGTTAAAGTAGTGTTGCGAAAAATTTTCAACGCGAGAGTAAATATTACCCCGTAAAGATTTTCAAGTTTATGTAGTGTTGCGAAAAATTTTTAATGCGAGAGTAAATGTTACCCCGTTAGAATTTTCAAGTTTAAGTAGTGTTGCGAAAAATTTTCAACGCGAGGGTAAATATTACCCTGTTAGAATTTTCAAGTTTAAGTAGTGTTGCGAAAAGTTTCCGGCGCGAAAGTAAATATGACTATACACTGACTAGTATTCGGTGGGAATCCTTTTGGTTTTTATTTGATAAAATTAGTTACAAGGATTCCGCGGCATAAGACCGTGAACACCACCTCATGGGAGATAAAACCATGCATTACTAGGCCTTTTCAGGCACAGCCATAGAGTACGGAACATTTAAGTATGTTGCAACCCATACGCTAAGCTGTCTTAAAGTCCTTTTGCCTATACTATGGGCGTCCACCACTCGAATTCGTTGGATGCAACGTGTTCGATGGGTGGGTAGCGCTCTTAGCGAAGGGGTGCACCTTGCCTGGGCCTAGA